TCGATTCATGTCTGTATTCACTTCGATATGTGACAATCCTGACTTTCCCCCTGGACTAATGGACAATAACTTCCGGATTTGGGAAAATAAAGGAATATCTACTTTACACAAACTATTGGAAGGCTCTACCATGATGTCTTTTAGTCAGATGAAAAGGAAATATAATATTCAAAAACAGGATTTATTTTTATATTTGCAAGTGAGAGATTTTGTCACAAAGGATACCTCAATCCTTCAGTGTCAGGATATCTCACGCCTAAAGAGACAGCTCTTTTTGCAAAGATCCGGCAGTTCTGTTAGCCTATTCTATAATATCCTTAAGGAATATAACATTACAAACACCTCCTCTCTGAAGGGCTTATGGGAAAGAGAACTTAATGTTAAGATAACAAATGATGACTGGAATGATGCTTGGAAAAGTGCTAAAACACTAAATGTCTGTAACCGAGTGAGAGCTATGCAACTGAAGCTCCTACACAGGGTTCATATCTCTCCCTATCAACATCATAAATACAACCCTAATACATCTCCACTCTGCCCCAAGTGTAAGATAGAAACTGGGGGTCTGACACATTGTTTGTGGTATTGTAGAGAAGTACAACAGTTTTGGCAGTTATAGGGCAGGAAGTTAATAAGATTCTGTCTACTGACAGTAATAATAACCCTTTCTATCTGCTACTTGGTATATCTGATGTGTCCATCACTGACACATTTAAAAGAAAACTTTATCAGACACCTGCTTTATGTGCTAGAAAAAGTATTCTTTTGAAGTGGATCACAGATAAAGCTCCATCTAAGGCTCAGTGGCAAAGGGTTGAATTTGAATATGTTGTGTTGGACTATTTGACATGTAAACTTCCCAGCAATGATGATGCCTTTCGTAAAACATGGGAACCCTTTCCATCATATGTTGGTTTGAATATTTCCACCATTCTCACAAGAGGGTTTGTATCATAACTCTGAAGGCTCTGCCTCAAAAGGGACACTCTGCTTTACCATTTAATTGATTTATTTTTATTTCTGTATACCTTTATTTTACTTATTTGTTTAGAATTTATTCTTACTTGTATAGGATGTGACCCCTGAATCTTCTGCCTGTATGGATTTGAATCTGAATATGTATGTGAGCCAAATGTTTGTTTGTTTGTTTTATTTTGTGTTCTTGTCTTACTTACTAATAAAACATATATTTTAAAAAAACATGTCTTCGGTCCCCTCCACCTGTGCTGTGGAGCCATTAAAATCTGATAATGGCTGCAGATCTGATAATGGCCGAACACTCTGGAATCGTATCACTACTCATCCACCTCGACCTCAGCACAGCATTTGATACCATTTCTCATCAAATCCTCTTTAACAGATTAGCTTTCATCGGTTTCACTAGCACTTCACCTACCTGGTTCAAATTATATCTCTCTGACCACTACCACTTTGTTCTCAAAAACTTCAAATCACAGCTTTCCCCGGTTACCACAAGTGTTCCCCAAGGTTCTGTTCTAGGTCCTCTCCTCTTTATCATCTATCTCCTTCCACTCGGTCACATCTTTGGTATTCATTTTCACTGCTATGCAGACGACACCCAGCTCTATCTTTTCCATCAAACCCAACATTGCCCTCCCACCATCTCTGACTGCTTCTTGGAAATCATATCCTGGTTCACTCAAAATGTCCTCAAACTTAACTGCAACTAGGGCTACGAAGCAGCACTGAGTGGGCCCAAGCACTTGCGATCTTGGGACCTGATACAGTCACCGGGGAGGGCGGTTGGGGACCAGGCAAAGAGGTTGTGTATTGTGTGCATTTTGCACACTGTGAGAAGGATAAACCCTTCACTTCCTGCATCTATCACGCAATGTTGAACAAAGCCCACCAATCACACATCATGGTCCACGCCATCAAGTGCAGACCACAAGGTGAAGGAGGAGGAGGGCCTGGACTCTGATCTTAGTATTTAATTTTGGTGATGACTGGACAATGCACAGTGGAGTTAAAATAATATATCCAGTTTCATGGCAAATCAGTAGGTGCCGCATTGACCCTGATTTAATATTGACATATTGAGAAGTTCAGGCCGCATCTCTGATCTTAGGTTTAAATTTTTGTGCCAATTGGACAATGCACAGTGGAGATAAATACAACTTAATTTCCATGCTGTTCAGTAGGTGGCGCTATGACCTGAAGTTAATATTCACATATGGAGCTGTTCAGGCCAGGACTGTGATCATTGGTTTAAATTACATGTTAGATGGTTTGAGGAAATGATTAAGATTCCTATTTTTGGTCCCACACACAGCATTCTATATGCAAACATGGGGAAATTTGACCTCTGTATTTAACCCATCCGTGTGAACGGAGCACACACCGAACACGATCCACACATGGAACAGTGGGCATCCATGAAGGCGCCCGGGGAGCAATTGGGGGGTTCGGTGCCTTCAAGGGCACCTCGGCAGTGCCCAGGTGGTGAACTAGCACCTCTCCAACTTCCGTTCATGCTGGACTTGAACCGGCCATCCTCAGGTTCCCAAGCCAAGTCGCTACTGCCTCCCTATGTCACAATTCAGGCAGTGTTCCGAGCCTTCAAAAGCCTGTCAGCCACGGCTTCTGATTGACCCGGACAGTGACGGTATTGAGGACTGTTACATCATCAATGCATCTGGTGATGTATGCAATGACAGACTCAGTATATTCCAGCAGGTTGGTGGTGGAGTTGTGGGAGGCAGCTTGCTTGAACACCTCCCAGTCTGTGGCGTCGAAACAGTCCTGAAGTGCCTCTACAGCCCCTTCTGGCCACACTCGCACCTCTTTCCGAACTGGTATGGTGACTTTAACCAGTGGTTTGTATGCTGGCATTAGCATGACAGTGATGTGGTCTGAGGCACTGAGGTGGGGGAGGGGAAAAGCCTTGTAAGCTCCTCTCTGGAAGGTGTAAACATGGTCCAGAGTGTTGTTACCCCGAGTTGGAAAGTCTATGTGCTGTTGTAGTTTGGGAAACACAGTCTTGGGGTTAGCATGATTAAAATCCCCGGCCAAGATGGCCGGCTTGTAAGGGCTAGCTGCTAGCCTGGCTTGGATATCAGATGTAGAAAGTAGAGCGAGCCACCAACACATCAGGAAAGAAGACTGCGAAACCTAACATGGCTAATGCTATGACCCATTGTCTCTTCCGATGGGCCTAGAAAAGTTGCACACAATGCTGATCAACCATCTCAAAAACACGATCGACAATGCTCTGGCTCCATTGACAGTCAAAAAACTACGCATTCCACTGAGAACCACGACAGCCAGATTACCGACGTCGAGGAAGCACTGTCAAACTACAGCGAATTGTCAATCTTGAAGATACCTGTGCCTCAATAAAAAGCACACACTCCTGGCCGACACAATGGACTATCTCAAAAACAGGTCAAGGCACTGCAATTTGAAAAGCCTCAACTTGGCGGAGAAAGTAGAAGTGAAATGTATGTTGGGCTTTTTTGCTGAGGTCTTGGAAAGCGATTTGCTCCCCTCCCCGCCAAATCTGGCACACTGCCTGGGCCCACTGCGCTTTGGAGCCAACACTAAACCGAGAGCCATGATGATGACTTTTCACTATTATCAGGACAAGGAACACACACTCTGAGAGAGTCGAGATACCAATCTATCGTGGGGAATGAGTCACCTTCTACCCGGACTACAGCACCACCATCAACAAGAAGCAGGCAGCATGTAACCCCATGAAAGCTCTTCTCTACCAGAGAGGAGTGAAGTTTCACCTGATTTTCACCACGGTGCTAAAGGTGGACTTTAAGGGTGAGACTCACTTCTTCAACACTGCAGACAAGGCACAAAAATGTTATCACTAGCATGTCGATGAATCGTAAGCAACTCATAAACCGACTGAACAAATATGGGACTTACTTATTGTCCCATTAGGCTAAGGCACTTAGCTGTGAAACAATCATACTGTAGCTGTTTCGCATAAACATGATTAATGTCTTTGCTGGCCGTTAGAATTTACAACATGCTCGTGGTGAGACCCAAAATGAACCTGGTCAATTTAGTTTCACTCCTATTTAAAACCAGGATGCAGGGAGTTGCGATATTGATCAGCAAAACAATGCAATTTGATTCAACAAATGTTGTATCTGATCATTGTGGCTGATATGTGATAGTGACAGGCTCTCTATTCCACATACCAGTTTTATTGGTGAATGTATGTGCTCCCAACTGGGATGACGTTGACTTTGCTAAAAGACTATTAGCTTCCTACCTAGCTTACTACCTTCTAAGCTTAAATACACATCAATTGATCTTGGAAGGGGACTTGAAATGTGTAATGGATCCTAGCTTGGACAGCTTTAGTCCTAAAATTATTCCTCCCTTAAAAATGTTTAATGCTTTTTGATTTACACACTGACACACTCTTCCTGAAATTATCCGGTGCGTCCGATAAAATAAAGTGCAACTATTGGTTTCGAATAGCAACATTCTTAGGAGGAATGTGCACGGACACATTCTCTTCATTGCATCCCTCCACACTGCAGTGTTTCTTCAATGTTGTTTGTTGTGGTTAGCCTGTGGTAGCTAACAAGCTACTAGCTCAGTAACATGTCTGCTCGATGTCACGTTCGGGGAGTAGATGTGATGGTGGTGGTGTGGAACCGGGGTGGTGGGTTCGGAAGCTGGACTGGTACCCGCTGCAAGGGGCTGAGAGAAGAGTGCAGTGAAGCTGACATCCTCCTACCTCGGAAGTTTGAAAGGAGCTGTTTAAAAGACATTTCTTTGAATGGAGTGAAAAAGTTCGCGGAATGACAGTTTTCACACTTTGAGGGTACCTACTGACCCCCTTCAAGTAATTAGGATTAGTCGGCAGCGGATGCTTTCAACCACACATTTGTAGAAGGAGGTGAGGACTGACCTCCCCAGTCCAGCACGCCTCAGCCTCCTGAGGAAGTAGAGGCGCTGGTGTGCCTTCCTTACCAGGCTGGACGTGTTGTTGCTCCAGGTGAGGTCATCCGTTAGGTGCATGCCCAGGTATCTGTAGCTGGAGACCACTTCCACTGCTGTTCCTCCGATGTGCCAGGGGACAGGGAGGGATGTCTGCTCTTCCTGAAGTCCACACTCATCTTCTTCATCTTTTTCACGTTGATACAGAGGTTGTTTTCCCTGCTCCAACCCTCCAGTTGTTCCACTTCCTGTCTGTAGCCGGACTCGTGGTTGTTGCTGATGCGTCCGACCGCTGCTGTGTCATCAGCAAACTTCCCAATATGACAGCACGGATAATTTGTTGAGCAGTCATGTGTGAGCAGGGTGAACAGGAGGGGGGAGTTGGTGTTGAGGGTGATGGAGGAGACATTGTGGATTCTCACTGACTGTGGCCTGTCCAACAGGAGGTCCAGGACCCAGTTGCAGAGGGGGGAGCTCAGTCCAAGTGAATGGAGTTTTTGGGTAAGGGTCTTTTCAATTTTCATGCCTCTCTTATGTCACCCAACCCTTAATTCAAACTTCTCACTCTATGTCGGTCCCTGAGGCAGTCATTTCACTAGATGCTGAGAAGGCCTTTGACTACATAGAGTAGCGGCATTTATTTGCAGTCCTCCAGAAATCCAGCCTTGGTAATGAACGGGCCTGTTTGTACTTGTTCTTTTATTTATTGACTATAGCACCCTATAAAGAGCAGCGTAGAATTTTCATGATTCGCCAAAGAAGAGGGATTTATTATAACTCCTCTGTGCATGGTCCAATCAGCCTCAAACCTCTTTCACACAATCACGGTCCCGCCATGATCAGATCGATATTTCAGCATTGACTCATAATCACAGCGCCACCAGCAGAGCCAGTTCAGACCTCCATGGGGCCCTAGGCAAAATTCTGCTAAGGGGCCCTCCTAACTGAACCCCAAAAATGTTGGCTTCTGATGCTTGCTGTGCACACGTGGTTGTGTGAATAGTGGCTGAGACTGCCTGTTCTTCCCCTGTCTGTACTTAACAACGGTGGCTGTACTGGACCTGGGCTGCTTGTACTGCCTGAGCATGTGACTCATCTGTGCCAGTTGAAGGTGTAAATGGCTCATCTGCGCCTGTGCCTGCACTGGATGATGAAGCTGGTTCATCTGTGCCTGTCCTATATGAAGCTGGCTCTGTCCCTCCACTGGCTGACTGGCTGGAGTCTGTGCTGCTTGTGAGAAACTTAAGCATAGCACCTGTAAAATATAGATAAGGCAACTATTAATTCAGCTCCATCAAATCGGCTGCACTTGTTTTACTTTCATATACTTCAAATGTAGGTGATTGTTTATATTATTATTTATTTAGCACCATTGTCATAATATTTCACGAATTTATTCATGAAGATATCTGCATCTATATCTGCCTGTGGGCTATCCAAGCAAACAAAATTAAATCTTAGTCAATATTTATCCATTACTTTCCATTTTGTATAAGTGCAGCTGTAACTATACTACAACTAAAATTATAGAAGCCAGCAAGACGCACACGGAGACTGGGGTTCACCCAGGGCTCACCGCCCTGTTTATGTCGGTTAAACACGGACTAGTCCCTCCCACTCTCCCAACCAGTGAGGAGAGTTACCTGACTGCTGTTCCCGCAGTTCATTTTCATGCTGTATCTTCCTCTTTTTATCATTCCCCGAGGGATAACTCCGCTTCATCTTGCTGGGCTGATGCACATGCACTGGGAATCTGACGTCCACGACGGACGGTCATGTCGTCACGTTTTTTTTTTTTTTTCACGGGGCCTCGATTAGTTTGCGGGGCCCTACGCAACGTGCATAGTGTAAGTATTGGGTGAACCGGTACTGGCCAACGGCTGGCGTCAGGAAGTGACATGTTTTATACTTGAAACTGCTGGCTATTTGCAATATTCCCCTGAAATGTACTCAGGATAAACACCATTATACTTCATTGTCAGAATTGTGACTTTTCTTCAAACCTTTTTTCACTTGGGTGATGCTTAATGCTTTCAAATCAAGATGATTGAGCTGTAGCTGCAATCATTGGTCACTAGAGGGCAGTGTAAGACCATGGTTTGCCCTCAGAGTTGTAGAGAATTCTTTCTCTCCTGTATTTCAGGTTAATAATGTGTTGAACACTCTATTAATTGTATTGATGTGTGTCAATTAATGTTGAGGGACAACTTTAGTTTATGTTTAACAGTAAAATGAGCTGTGAAAGATTGTATTTTGTGTTGACAAGTGGTGCCCGCTGAGATTAACTGTCCAAATCAGCACCAATATTCTCAAATTAAAGTCTCACATACATGTGTCAAAAGTTGACTCAGGGTCATAGCGCCACCTATTGATTTGCAGTGAAATGGAAGTTTTTGTAACTAAAGACAGGGAGTGACACGTTTATCCTTCTTGTGGTGCCAAAAATGTACGTCAGGTTTGTAATTTCAGACAGAATAATAAAGACTGAACTAACCGAGGTCCCGCATAAGCACTTGGATAATATTTTTCAGGGATGGGGAATGTGCTGGCCTTGATTAAGTCCCTGCCCTTTGTACACACTGCCAGTCGCTACTACTGATTGGATGGTTTAGTGAGGTCCATGGATCGGCCCGCTGAAACTGGTCATGGCCCTGGCAGTGTGCCAAGAATCTGATCAAACTTGACTATCTAGAGGAAGTCGTAACAAGGTTTCTGTAGGTGAACCTGAGGAAGGATTATTACCAGTACAGCAGCCCGACCAGCCACCGGACACTTAGGGTCATGTCTCCTGAGGCAGGGGGCAAGCGAGTGAGCAAGAGGTGCTCTGTGGGTAAAAGTGTAAAAACAAGTAACGATACAGTTGTAATGAATGTAAATGGGAGTAAAAGTCAAAAGTAATAAATACAGTTACAAAGTATTTGTACTTCATTACTTTCCAAATCTGCGCTTGGGAGATCGTACCCTCGTGGGGCTGTGCTCATGTGATTGGCTGAAATCAAAGGTTAAGTAGCCATAAGTCCACTGTGCATTGACCAATCAAACCCCAAAGTCTGTCAAATGATCAGAGTCCTGGCCCGAATAGCTCCATATTTGAATATTAACTCAGTCATAGCGCCACCTATTGATTTGCCATGAAACAGGATATTTTTTTAACTCCTCTGCATTGTCCAATCGGCACCAAACTTTAAATCTATGATCAGAGTCCCGACCTGAACAGCTCCATATGTCAATAATAACTCGTAGTGCAACCTACTGATTCAGTGAAACAGGAAGTTTTCTTTTAACTCCACTGTGCATTGTCCAATCAGCCCCAAAATTATATCACATGATTAGTCCTGGCCTAAACAGATCTATTAGTGTGTGTGAAGTGACAGTGATAGTGCCACCTACTGATTAACAGGAAGCAGGAAGTTGTTTCAACCAAGGCCTAAACCATGGAGTCAACATTGGGGGGGACCAAATTTCTCTCTTATATATATATACCTTTTTTTTCTTTTTACCATAATGATAATGCATTGCGTTACATGTTATTACATTGTATTACTTGTGTGGGCACTGGGCAGGAGGGCCTTCACTGCTCTCTTCTCATCCTGTCTTCCCTTGCCAAGCTCCTGTGGTCCTATATTCTCCTCTCTCTTTTCCTCTCTCTTGCTCTCCCGTCATCTCCTCTCCTCTCCTCTCCAGTCAAGTCAATTCAATTAAATTCAATTTGACTCAAATTTGTTTTATTGTCATGAATGTTGTGAGAACTATATTGCCAAAGCATCAGGAATACATGAAACAAAACAAATACAACCCACAGAACCAAATAAAATAAAAATGAAAAAAGTATGTATGTGTGCTTATGTCCTCCT